GATTTTGACTGCCTTTATAAATTCAAATATATTTTATGGAAAACATGCACGTAAAAATCCTCTCTTGTACTTATTTGACAGCAAATTACGCCTTCTTTAAATTTTATTCTAAAAGAAAGTGTTTCCTTCGGTTTTTAAAAACATTCTAATTTTGAGTTATTTTACGACTGTGCTGTGTTCATTCATAATACATCGTATCCGTCAATTTATGAAAGCTGCCCTTGACATATACAGCGTGATCCATATCTATTGTGAAATTATATGAGAGCTACGCATCCACTTCCTCAAACCGTAGGCAAGAATGTACTTTTCCTTAAACAGGATGAACTCAGTATTCAGGTAGTAAAACTTGAATTCAGTTCTAGCAGTCGGTAAGTTTCAAAATCATTCGGCAATTTAGAAACTTTTTTAAAACCCAAGGAAACACTTCCTTTTAGAATAAAATTTAAAGACGGCGTAATTTGCTATCAAATAAGTACAAGAGAGGAGTTATACCTGCATGCTTTCCATAAAATATATTTGGATTTGCAAAGACAGACAAAAGCAATGATAAAATGCATGCTATTCAAGTAGCCATTTTTTACAGAAGCTCATCACAGAGTCGGCATCCTTGCGTGACTGAAAATAATTGAAATTGGACTGCCTGATAAACAGTATTGCAACCCTATTCGTTGTTGATTTGCGTCTGATTACCGGTCTTTTTCAAATTGCGGAATGTTGCTTGCAGCACTCGCCATACTGTACATTGTTCTCAGCCAACCTAATTATCTGTACTCGATACAATTATAAGGTGCTGTCTAGATTGTCGGTATGTGTGTTTACTCCCTCACTTACTTTTTTATGCAATCTATGATGATCGGACGTGTAGATACTTGTGGAAAATTGCAGAATAACAGGAACAAAATGACTTAAGGGAGGTAAGACATGGTCAGGTACCAGTTCCATCCAGGGACACTTGTCAAATACTGACCTCACCATGGACGTCAAGCAAGCCTTCCAAATAGCTCGCCAAGCTTAGTCTGATTATAAAAAGTCATTATGACAATGT